TTTTGTGATCAAGTGTTCAAGTCAGAGGTCAAAGACAACTATGTCCATTTTATTCCCCAATTTTGCCAGAGAAGTAAGAATGAAAGAAATTAAAAATATGTAATAAAAGTGTTGAGCACAGCAGGACTAACTAACCCATGTTTCTGTATGCAGCCAGGGGAACAGTGGGACTAACTAACTAACTAACCCGTGTGTCTGTCTGTAACAACTAACTAACCAGTGTCTCTCTGTGTGTGCAGTGATATCGACTGAGGGCAGCACCCCTAACAATGGGACTAACTAACTAACCCGTGTGTCTGTCTGTAACAACTAACTAACCAGTGTGTCTATCTGCAACAACTAACTAACCAGTGTCTCTCTGTGTGTGCAGTGATATCGACAGAGGGCAGCACTCCTAACAATGGGACTAACTAACTAACCAACTGGTGGAACTAACCAACCCATGTCTGTGTATGTCTGTGTGAGCAGTGATATCGACAGAGGGCCAGCACTCCTAACAATGGGACTAACTAATTAACCAACTGGTGGAACTAACCAGTGTCTCTCTGTCTCTGTGTGTGCAGCGATGTCGACAGAGGGCTCCACTCCGCTGGGGGTGCAGCAGCAGCAGCATACTCTGATTACCAGCAGTAGCAGTCAGCCAGGAGTAGGAGGAGGTGTAGGAGGAGAGCCCTCTCTGCCTGGCACAGAGGAGGTGGGGGGCACCTCAACCCGTACCATCCCCACCGCCTGTGTCAGGCCCACGCACCCCCTACGGAGCTTCGCCAACCCCCTCCTGCCACCACCCATGGGCACCATCGACCCCAAGGTCTACACACCCATGATGCCACATTCAAGTGAGTTGGGAACTAGGTTTCTGCTTCATATTTCTGCTAGCAGTACTGTACTGTCTGGTTGTGTGGTCTGAAAGGTAAGGCTGCTAGCTGCTAGCTGTGTTGTACATTAACCTGAGGGGGTAGAACCATCCAGTCTGATCTTGTTTTAGTACACTTCTTCTCACACACACACACACACTTCTCTCTCCACCACAGCCTTAATGTCCTGCAGCCCTGTGAGCAGACAGACTTAATCTATGATCCTTCCCACCCTGCTTACCAAAAATACTGTGTGTGTGTGTGTGTGTGTGTGTGTGTGTGTGTGTGTGTGTGCGTGTGTGTGTGTATGTGTGTGTGTGTGTGTATGTGGTGTAGGTTGGTGTATTTCCGTTATTTTCCTGTATGCTATCCTGTGGCTGAGATTACCATTGATTTTCAGATCCTGCGCACCCTTTATGCTATAGGCTGCAGGCAGAGTAACACCACTCACACACCTTCTCTTGCAGGCAGGAATAGCTCTCTCTCTCTCTCTCTCTCTCTCTCTCTCTCTCTCTCTCTCCTCTCTCTCTCTCTCTCTCTCTCTCTCTCTTCTCTCTCTCTCTCTCTCTCTCTCTCTTCTCTCTGTCTCTGTCTCTCTCTCTCTCTCTCTCTCTCTCTCTCTCTCTCTCTCTCTCTCCGCCCTACTGGTATCTAAATCTCGGGATCTATCCTCTTTCCTCTCCCCTTCCTCCTCCTCCTCCTCCTCCTCTTCCTCCTCCTCTCTCTACTTCTCTACTGTCCTCCTCCTCCTCCTCAAGCCATGGATATACATATCTTCTGACAGATGCTCCAGACAGCGTTTTCAACGCTAGTCATAATTTCATTGTTTTTTCTTAAACCTTTGTGCCAGTAGTGTCCCTTTTATTCTGCTGGCAGAGCTGATGAGTATGAAGGATAAAGGATGCTGGACGGAAGGGTCACCTGAGCTCTACTCTCTTCACAACCTGAAAATGAGACGCAACCTCACCTCACTAAAAACAGAGCGCAGAGGGTTTATAATCAAAGAGTTATTAGATTTCAGACTGAAGAACATTGGTCCTGACCTGACTAAATGTTTGAGTGTGACATTTTATGTCTGTAGACAATAAAGGATTTTTGTGTTCAGTTAGTTGTGTGTGGCCCAGAGGGGCAACGACTTTTAAGTAGAGGAATACTAAACTGGATTAAATCCTATGCCGACTCTTTCCTGACTGTAAATCGCTCATCTACTGAATTAAATGACAGAGAATGAAGGTGAAGAACACAATGTCAAAATCTCAGCCTCCTCCTGGGTGATTTCTAAGAAGGGAAATAGCTCTGCTCATTTAGCCATTGTAGCCTGTAAAAGGCTGAAAGTGGAGAGCATTTATCTGTCTGAGTCTTTAATGTATTTGCTTTCACACTTGAATGGCTTTAAGCTCATTTTTTGGAGGAAATCTCTCCAACTACCAGTCAGACTGGAGAGCTAGTTTAAAGGTAGTTTAGCCCAGCAAGAGGATCAGTTACGGAATGTCCAGAAGAATTTTTGCGTCCTAAATGACACCCTGTTCCCTTTTATAGTGCACTACTTTTACCTAGAGCCCCATAGACTACTACCAATATGTAGTGCACTATAAAGGGAATGGGTTGCAATTTGGGATGCAGTCCCAGAATAATGTTTACCTTCCAGAGTCTGTCTATTTCACTTCACTTCACTGCCTGCCGGCTTCAGGCTGTTTCAGTGTGTTGTCAGGCAACAGCAGGAGCCCAGTCTCTCTTCTGTACAGAGCTGAAAACATCAAACATGCAGGTCTTTGAGGTACAGTGTCTTCAGAAACTACTTAGTCGTTGTTACAGCCTGAGTTTAAAATGGATTACATTGTACCCCATAATGTCAAAGTGGAATTACGTTTAGACATTTTTACAAATTAATACAAAATGTAACGCTGAAATGTCTTGAGTCAATAAGTATTCTACCCCTTTGTTATGGCAAACCTAAATAAGTTCAGGAGTAAAAATGTGCTTAACAAATCACGTAATACGTTGCATGGACTCACTCTGTGTGCAACAATAGAGTTTAACATGATTTTTGAATGACTACCTCATCTCTGTACCCCACACATACAATTATCTTTAAGGTCCCTCACTCGAGAAAGTGAATTTCAAACACAGATTCAACCACAAAGACCAGGGAGGTTTTCCAATGCCTCGCAAAGAAGGGCACCTATTGGTAGATGGGTAAACATTTTAAAAAGCAGACATTGAATATCCCTTTGAGCATGGTGAAGTTATTAATCATACTTTGGATGGTGTATCAATACACCCAGTCTCTATAAAGATACAGGCGTCCTTCCTAACTCAGTTGCCGGAGAGGAAGGAAACCGCTCAGGGATTTCACCATGAGGCCAATGGTGACATTAAAACAGTTACAGAGTTTAATGGCTGTGATAGGAGAAAACTGAGGATGGATCAACAACATTGTAGTTACTCCACAATACTAACCTAAATCACAGAGTGAAAAGAAGGAAGCATGTACAGAATACAAATATTCCAAAATATGCATCCTGTTTGCAATAAGCCACTAAAGTAAAACTAACAAAAAAATAGCAAATAAATTAACTTTATGTCCTGAATACAAAGCGTTATGTTTGGGGCAAATCCAACACATCACTGAGTACCACTCTTCATATTTTCAAGCATGTTGGTGGCTGCATCATGTTATTTACATTTACATTTACATTTTAGTCATTTAGCAGACGCTCTTATCCAGAGCGACTTACAGGAGCAATTAGGGTTAAGTGCCTTGCTCAAGGGCACATCGACAGATTTTTCACCTAGTCGGCTTGGGGATTAGAACCAGCGACCTTTCGGTTACTGGCACAACGCTCTTACCCACTAAGCCACCTGCCGCCAATGGGTATGCTTGTCATCGGCAAGGACTAGGGAGTTTTTTAGGATAAAAAGAAACGGAATTGAGCTAAGCACAGGCAAAATCCTAGAGGAAAACATGGTTCAGTCTGCTTTCCAACAGACACTGGGAGACAAAATCACCTTTCAGTGGGAAAATAACCTAAAACACAAGGCCAAATATACAGTCGTGGTTAAATGTTTTGAGAATGACACAAGTATTGGTCTTCACAAAGTTCGCTGCTTCAGTGTTATGAGATATTTTTGTCAGATGTTACTATGGTATACTGAAGTATAATTACAAGCATTCCATAAGTGTCAAAGGCTTTTATTGACAATTACATTTAGTTTATGCAAAGAGTCAATATTTGCAGTGTTGACCCTTCTTTTTCAAGACCTCTGCAATCCGCCCTGGCATGCTGTCAATTAACTTCTGGGCCACATCCTGAATGATGGCAAACCATTCTTGCATAATCAATGCTTGGAGTTTGTCAGAATTTGTGGGTTTTTGTTTGTCCACCCGCCTCTTGAGGCCTGGTGAGTTTCCTGGCCATGGACCCAAAATGTAGATGTTTTGTTCCCCGAGCCACTTAGTTATCACTTTTGCCTTATGGCAAGGTGCTCCATCATGCTGGAAAAGGCATTGGTCGTCACCAAACTGTTCTTGGATGGTTGGGAGAAGTTGCTCTCGGAGGATGTGTTGGTACCATTCTTTATTCATAGTGGTGTTCTTAGGAAAAATTGTGAGTGAGCCCACTCCCTTGGCTGAGAAGCAATCCCACACATGAATGGTCTCAGGATGCTTTACTGTTGGCATGACACAGGACTGATGGTAGCGCTCACCTTGTCTTCTCCGGACAAGCTTTTTTCCGGATGCCCCAAACAATCGGAAAGGGGATTCATCAGAGAAAATGACTTTACCCCATTCCTCAGCAGTCCAATCCCTGTACCTTTTGCAAAATATCAGTCTGTCCCTGATGTTTTTCCTGGAGAGAAGTGGCTTCTTTGCTGCCTTTCTTGACACCAGGCCATCCTCCAAAAGTCTTCGCCTCACTGTGCGTGCAGATGCACTCACACCTGCCTGCTGCCATTCCTGAGCAAGCTCTGCACTGATGGTGCCCCGATCCCGCAGCTGAATCAACTTTAGGAGACGGTCCTGGCACTTGCTGGACTTTCTTGGGCGCCCTGACGCCTTCTTCACAACAATTGAACCTCTCTCCTTGAAGTTCTTGATGATCCGAAAAATTGTTGATTTAAGTGCAATCTTACTAGCAGCAATATCCTTGCCTGTGAAGTCCTTTTTGTGCAAAGCAATGATGACGGCACGTGTTTTCTTGCAGGTAACCATGGTTAACAGAGGAAGAACAATGATTTCAAGCACCACCCTCCTTTCAAAGCTTCCAGTCTGTTATTCTAACTCAATCAGCATGACAGAGTGATCTCCAGCCTTGTCCTCGTCAACACTCTCACCTGTGTTAACGAGAGAATCACTGACATGATGGCAGCTGGTCCTTTTGTGGCAGGGCTGAAATGCAGTGGAAATGTTTTTTGAGGATTAAGTTCATTTTCATGGCAAAGAGGGACTTTGCAATTAATTGCAATTCATCTGATCACTCTTCATGACATTCTGGGAGTATATGCAAATTGCCATCATCAAAACTGAGGCAGCAGACTTTGTGAAAATTAGTATTTGTGTCATTCTCAAAACGTTTGACCACGACTGTACACTGGAGTTGGTTACCAAGACGACATTAAATGTTCCTGAGTGTCCTAGTTACAGTTTTGACTTAAATCGGTTTGAAAATCTATGGCAAGACTTGAAAATGTCTGTCTAGCAATGATCAACAACCAACTTGACAGAGCCTGAAGCATAAAAAAAAAAAAAAAAGTGCAAATATTGTACAATCCAGGTGTGCAAATCTCTTAGAGACTCACCCAGAAAGACTCACAGTTGTAATCTAACATGTATTGACTCAGGAGTGTGAATATGTACAGTACCAGTCAAACGTTTGGACACACCTACTCAATCAAGGGTTTTTCTTTATTTTTACTATTTTCTACATTGTAGAATAAAGACATAAAAACTATGAAATATCACATATGGAATCATGTGTGTGCAAAGATGTCATGAAGGCAAAGGGTGGCTACTTTGAAGAATCAAAAATATTAAATATATTTTGATTTGTTTAACACTTTTTTTGGTTACTACATGATTCCATATATGTTATTTCATAGTTTTGATGTCTTCACTATTATTCTACAATGTTGAAAATAGTAAAAAATAAAGAAAAACCCTTGAATGAGTAGGTGTGTCCAAACTTTTGACTGGTACTGTACGTAAATGAGATATTTCTGTATTTCATTTTCAATACATTTGCAAAAATAAAATAAAACCTGTTTTCAATTTGCCATTTTGGGGTATTGCGTGTCGATGGGTGAGAATATATATATTTTTTAATACATTTTGAATTCAGGCTGTAACACAACAGAATGTGGAATATGTCAAGGCGTATTGATACTTTCTGAAGGCACTGTAGCTAGCTGTGTACTGTGAAACAAAGCGGTTTAAATTACTTTGGTTGATGGAAATGCTGTACAGAACTGGAAAAGGGCCTCCAGATATTTAGCCATTCTGATGCTGACAAGGCACCATGGGTATATAAAGTACAGTACAGTACCTACAGTAGGTTACACATTGCGATAGTACAGTACTTACAGTAGGTTACACATTGAGCAAAGGGACATGCAGCTGCTCTGTATTGTCCATTAAGATGAAGCTTGGTGTCCAGGGCAGACTACAGTACTGGTTTGAGTCCCAAATGGCACCCTATTCCCTATGGGCCCCAGTCAAAAGTAGTGCACTACATAGGGAACATGGTGCCATTTGGGACGTAACCCTCCCTAGTGATAGCGTGGATGGAAAATGAAATTCATGGCTATTACTGCAGGGCTGGCCAAATCACAGATTGAACACTGCGTGGAGAGTAGTCACAGTTAGAACACTGCGTGGAGAGTAGTCACAGTTAGAACACTGAGTGGAGAGTAGTCACAGTTAGAACACTGAGTGGAGAGTAGTCACAGTTAGAACACTGAGTGGAGAGTAGTCACAGTTAGAACACTGAGTGGAGAGTAGTCACAGTTAGAACACTGAGTGGAGAGTAGTCACAGTTAGAACACTGAGTGGAGAGTAGTCACAGTTAGAACACTGAGTGGAGAGTAGTCACAGTTAGAACACTGAGTGGAGAGTAGTCACAGTTAGAACACTGAGTGGAGAGTAGTCACAGTTAGAACACTGAGTGGAGAGTAGTCACAGTTAGAACACTGAGTGGAGAGTAGTCACAGTTAGAACACTGAGTGGAGAGTAGTCACCGTTAGAACACTGAGTGGAGAGTAGTCAGTTAGAACACTGAGTGGGGAGTAGTCACAGTTAGAACACTGAGTGGAGAGTAGTCACAGTTAGAACACTGAGTGGAGAGTAGTCACATTTAGAACACTGAGTGGGGAGTAGTCACAGTTAGAACACTGAGTGGAGAGTAGTCACAGTTAGAACACTGAGTGGAGAGTAGTCACCGTTAGAACACTGAGTGGAGCGTAGTCACAGTTAGAACACTGAGTGGAGCGTAGTCACAGTTAGAACACTGAGTGGAGAGTAGTCACAGTTAGAACACTGAGTGGAGCGTAGTCACAGTTAGAACACTGAGTGGAGAGTAGTCACAGTTAGAACACTGAGTGGAGAGTAGTCACAGTTAGAACACTGAGTGGAGAGTAGTCACAGTTAGAACACTGAGTGGAGAGTAGTCACAGTTAGAACACTGAGTGGAGCGTAGTCACAGTTAAAACACTGAGTGGAGCGTAGTCACAGTTAGAACACTGAGTGGAGCGTAGTCACAGTTAGAACACTGAGTGGAGAGTAGTCACAGTTAGAACACTGAGTGGAGAGTAGTCACAGTTAGAACACTGAGTGGAGCGTAGTCACAGTTAGAACACTGAGTGGAGAGTAGTCACAGTTAGAACACTGAGTGGAGAGTAGTCACAGTTAGAACACTGAGTGGAGCGTAGTCACAGTTAGAACACTGAGTGGAGCGTAGTCACAGTTAGCCTGGTACTTCTGCTAACTGAGTATTGAGTGGTGGTTGCTAACATGTTATCAACACGTTATTGAAGGTTTTATTGAACACAACATTTGACAATATATTCCCCATCTTTCATGGGCTTACATGAAGTAACCTTTTGGTATCTTTTTCCGTAGTTCTGTGAGTTACTGTAGCTATGATATGCTTAATCAAGCCTTTCCCCATGATAATGCTCCAGTCTAGTGCAATCATGTTCCCCTCATTATATCCCTATGGCCTGCAGATACAGGAGACTAGGCAGCAAGCCACCTTAACACTGTTGTAGGGTACATAGCCATTGGTCTTACAGCAGCCAGCAATCAGAACTGCTTAGCCAGCATAGTTAGCAGCTGAACAGAACAGACGTTCAGTACAAAGTGTCTGTTCAGATCCAGGTCCAGCTGGCTTCCATTGCAGTGTGTCCTTGTACTAGAGATATAATGACTAGAACAGACATTTCTATTCAAGTCAATGTTCAGTAATGGGTGGACCAGCAGCCATATTGAGTATCATTCTATTTTCAGATTATAAACACACACACACACAAACAAACACACTCCGTCAGGTTCTCAGAATGAAAATAGGACTGATTGAAGTGGAGGTGGAGCACTTTGGGGTCCTCTGTGTTACTCTCTGTTCCTGGGTACTCTGGGGTCCTCTGTGTTACTCTCTGTTACTGGGCACTCTGGGGTCCTCTGTGTTACTCTCTGTTACTGGGCAGTTTGGGGTCCTCTGTGTTACTCTCTGTTCCTGGGTACTATGGGGTCCTCTGTGTTACTCTCTGTTACTGGGCACTCTGGGGTCCTCTGTGTTACTCTCTGTTACTGGGCACTCTGGGGTCCTCTGTGTTACTGGGCACTTTGGGGTCATTGGTGTTACTCTCTGTTACTGGGCACTCTGGGGTCCTCTGTGTTACTCTCTGTTACTGGGCACTCTGGGGTCCTCTGTGTTACTCTCTGTTACTGGGCACTCTGGGGTCCTCTGTGTTACTCTCTGTTTCTGGGCACTCTGGGGTCCTCTGTGTTACTGGGCACTCTGGGGTCCTCTGTGTTACTCTCTGTTCCTGGGCACTCTGGGGTCCTCTGTGTTACTCTCTGTTCACTGAGAGCCCAACAGTGTGCGCTGAGAGTGTAATTAAGCCAGGGCCGGAGAGACACAGAGAGCCACAGAGGTCACTGTGGGATAGACGCAGCTCGCAGTTCACCTCCCACGCTGCTCAGCAGAGAGACAGAGTATTAGACTGAAGACTGTAGCAGCAATTAACACGTTAGTCTACAGCAGGGGTCTTCAATGCGTTGCTCATGAGTGACCAGTGGCTCGCGTGCTGTTAATGAGTTGTTCACATCTAGATTCTGAAAAATAATGAGTAGCCTCATATTACATAATTAGACCATTATTGCACCTACAGTACACAATATAATAATACATCTAAGTTCTAGTTACAGTACAGACTTATCCGTTAGAATACAGGCTAAAGGTATGTTTTGTGTTTTAGATCCACTTCCGATAAAGTTGTTTGTTTCTCTCAGGTTGACCATAGTTGACTGGCTGTAATCAGTGGTGAGCCAACCATGTCTCTCCAGTCCAGTCCAGTCATGGTCCTTACTCCCACACCAATCTATCAGCTACCACCTCACTGAGCCCTGTAGATGTGTCTTGCTGTATTCTGTGGTCACTCACCAGAAATTCGAGCAGAAATTAGACTTCCTTGACCCTTGATCCTTTGTTTGAACTTCCCAACTTCCCAGAAGTAGCTGTACGCACCAAAACGCCGATGCTGTGGAAGATGTAGAAGGAGCGGGCCTTAGACAAACTCAACACCATCCACCGCTTCCGAGTATATTACTCGCTAACGTTCAGTCCTTGGACAATAAAGTAGACAAGCTCAGGATGAGGATTTCCTTCCAGAGACATCAGGGACTGTAACATTACTCTGTTTTACGGAATCATGGCTCTCTCTAGATATATATTGTCCCTGTCCATTCAGCCAGCGGGGTTCTCCGTCCTTTCGCACTGACAGGAAGAAAGAACTCTCTGGGAAGAAGAAAGGCGGAGGGGTTTGTTTCATGATTAACAACTCATGGTGTGATTGTGGTAACGTACAGGAACTCAAGTCCTTTTGTTCTCCCGATCTGGAATATCTCACCATCAAATGCCTTACCACCCGAGATCATTTTCTTCGGTCACCGTCACTGCCGTGTATATTCCCCCCCAAGCCGACACCGCGACAGCCCTCAAGGAACTACACTGGACTATGTGCAAACTGGAAACCGCGTATCCTGAGGCTGCATTTATTGTAGCTGGGAACATTAATAAAGGAAATCTGAGGAAAACGCTACCGAAACATATCTCAACATGGACCCATGCGCATCACGGACCCTGGATCATTGCTACTCTCCTTTCTGGGACGACTACAAGGCCCTCCCCCACCCTCCCTTTAGCAAATCAAATCACTCCTTCATTCTGCTCCTCCCCACCTATAGGCAGAAACTTAAACAGGAAGCTTCCGTGGTAAGGACGGTTCAACGTTGGTCTGAACAATCGGAATCTATGCTTCAAGATTGTTTTGATCACGCGGACTGTAACATTTTCCGGGTTGCCGCTGAGAAAAGTATCGACGTATACACTGACTCGGTGACGGGGTTCATCAGGAAGTGCATAGAGGATGTTGTTCCCACTGTGACGATTATAACTTATCCAAACCATAGATGGCAGCATTCACGCAAAACTGAAAGCGCAAACCACCGCATTTAACCATGCCAAGGTGACTGGGAACATGGATGTGTACAAACAGACCAGCTACGACCTCCGTAAGGCAATTAGAGGCAAAACAACAGTACAGGGACAAAGTCCCAATTCAACGGCTCAGACACGAGACGTATGTGGCAGGGACTCCAGACAGTCACGGATTATAAAGGGAAACCCAGCCACGTCGTCGACACAGACGCCTTGCTCCCGGACTAGATAAACACCTTCCCCCGCTTCGAGGAAAATAACATTGTGCTGCCGACGCTTATGAGGACTGTGTGCTCTCGTTCTCTGTGGCCTGCATGAGTAAGTCGTTTAAGCATGTTAACCCTCGCAAGGCTGCCGGCCCAGACGGCATCCCAAGCCGCGTCCTCAGAGCATGTGCAGACCAGCTGGCTGGAGATTTGACGGACATATTCAATCTCTCCGTATCCCAGTCTGTTGTCCCCACTTGCTTCAAGATGTCCACCATTGTTTCTGTACCCAAGAAAGCAAAGGTAACTTAACTAAATGACTATCGCCCCGTAGCACTCACTTCTGTCATTATGAAGTCATTATGAAGTGCTTTGAGAGACTAGTTCAGGACCATATCACCTCCACCTTAACCAACACCCTAGACCCAGTACAATTCGTGAGCAAGCCCTCTGTGTCCAAATCACTAAGGACCTAAAATGGTCCACATGCGCACAGTCATAAAGAAGGCGCGTAAGCGCCTCTTCCCCCTCAGGAGGTTGAAAAACATTTGGCATGGGCCCTAAAATCCTCAAAAAGTTCTACAGCTGTACCATTGACAGCATCTTGACATCTTGACTGGCTGCATCGTTGCTTGGTATGGTAATAGCACCGCCCTCTATCGCATGGCGCTACAGAGGTTGGTGCGGACAGCCCAGTACACTGGGGCCGAGCTCCCTGCCATCCAGGACCTCTATATCAAGTGGTGTGAAAGGAAGACCCGGAAAATCATTCAAGACTCCAACCACCGAAGCCATAGACTGTTCACTCTGCTTCCGCACGGCAAGTGGTACCGGTGCATCAAGTCTGACACCAACAGGACCCTGAACAGCTTTTATCCCCAAGCCATAAGACAGCTAAATAGTTAACTAAATAGCTAACTAAATGGCTACACAGACTAAGTTGACCCTTGTATTGTATTACATTTTTGCACTGTCTCTATGCACACTCACACTGTCACTCCAACACATAAACACTCACTTCATAATTAGCTCACACACACATAATATGCACATACTGTACATTTATACTGATTCTAGATACACACACACCCACTCACATACAATCATCATATACGATGCTGCTACTCTGTTTATCATATATCCTGATGCCTAGTCACTTTACCCCTATACATATCTACCTCTATCACTCCAGTATCCCTGCACATTGTTAATATGGTACTGGAACTGACCCTGTATATAGTCACCTTACCCCTATACATATCTACCTCCATCACTCCAGTATCCCTGCACATTGTTAATATGGTACTGGAACTGACCCTGTATATAGTCGCCTTACCCCCTATACATATCTACCTCTATCACTCCAGTATCCCTGCACATTGTTAATATGGTACTGGAACTGACCCTGTATATAGTCACCTGACCCTGTATATAGTCACCTGACCCTGTATATAGTCACCTGACCCTGTATATAGTCACCTGACCCTGTATATAGTCACCTGACCCTGTATATAGTATACTTACTTACTTTCTTCTTATTTCTTGTTTATATTTTGTTTTGTTCTACCATATGTTATTTTTTAGTATTACATTGTTATTGATTACTGCATTGTTGGGTTTAGAGCTTGCAAGAAAGGCATTTCACCTCAGCCACTTGCAAATTAATTACTTAAAAATCATACAATGTGATTTTCTGGATTTTTGTTTTAGATTCCGTCTTTCACAATTGAAGTGTACCTATGATAAAAATTACAGACCTCTACATGCTTTGTAAGTAGGAAAACCTGCAAAATCGGCAGTGTATCAAATACTTGTTCTCCTCACTGTATATATATTTATATTCTGGTCTCTGACATTGCTCGTTCTTGATATTTCTTAATATGTTTCTTTTTCTGGATTCTGTGTGTATTGACTTGTTATATTGTTTTTATTGCTAGGTATTACTGTACCTAGAAACACAAGCATTTCCCTGCACCTGCGATAACATCTGTAAATCTGTGACCAATAAAATGTGATTTGATTAATTTTCTTTCTCCTCCTGCTCTGTCATGTGATCTATCCAGCCTGTGATCTATCCTGTGATCTATCCAGCCTGTGATCTATCCAGCCTGTGATCTATCCAGCCTGTGATCTATCCAGCCTGTGATCTATCCAGCCTGTGATCTATCCAGCCTGTGATCTATCCAGCCTGTGATCTATCCAGCCTGTGTCTCTCCAGCCTGTGTCTCTCCAGCCTGTGATCTATCCAGCCTGTGGTCTATCCAGCCTGTGATCTATCCAGCCTGTGATCTATCCAGCCTGTGATCTATCCAGCCTGTGATCTATCCAGCCTGTGATCTATCCAGCCTGTGATCTATCCAGCCTGTGATCTATCCAGCCTGTGATCTATCCAGCCTGTGGTCTATCCAGCCTGTGATCTATCCAGCCTGTGATCTCTCCAGCCTGTGTCTCTCCAGCCTGTGTCTCTCCAGCCTGTGTCTCTCCAGCCTGTGTCTCTCACAGCGGCTCCAAGGGGAGAGTTGATCCTATTATTGCGTCTGGAGCCAGAGCTTCCCCACCTACCTCTCCCTCCCACTGTTGCGTCTGGAGCCAGAGCTTCCCCACCTACCTCTCCCTCCCACTGTTGCTAGTGCACCTAGCAGGTGCTGCTGTAATTTGCAGAGTTAAATTATGCAGATAATACCCAGCCCAGGTAGCTCATTTGGATGGCCAGGCGATTAATCCTGGAGACGGAGAGGAGAGCTGCAGAACCCACACAGTCTCTCACCTCGCTCCTTCCTCATCTCCACTGCTGTCCTTCTACCTTCTCTCCTAGCCCCCTGACGGCTTCCGCCCCGTGCCCTCATCCGCCTCACTCTGCCTCTCTCCACCTGCACAGTCTCCCTCGCTCCACCTCCATCATTGCGAGCCCCTCCTCTCTCCTTGAGGGAAGGAACCGCCCTCCTCCCTCGACCGCGTCCTTCTCCTTCCCAGGATCAACCCCGTCGACCTCTCTCATCTCCCTCCCCTATCTCCTCTCCTCCTCCCTCTCTTCCCCCTCTTCCCTCTCTTTTCTCCTTCCCTCCCTCTCTCCTTCCCTCTCTCTCTCCTTCCCTCGCTTTCTCCATCCCTCTCTCTCTCCTTCCCTCTCTCTCTCCTTCCCCTCCCTCCCTCCCTCCTCTTACCTTACACACAAGCCTTAGAACAGCACCACTCCCTGCCCCACGCTGCTCTGTGCTGTCAGCGCTGTCCGTCAAACACAGACTGCTCCCTCCTCTATCTCTCTCACCCTCCCTTGTTCGCCTGCCTGCCTATACCTACAATCCTTAGAGCAGTAACACTCTCTGCTCCCTCCCTCCTTTGTCTGCTTACTGATACCTAAATTGTTAGAATAGCACCACTCCCTGCCTCTCTCTCTCTCTCGCTCTCGCTCCCTCCCTCTCTCATCCCTCCTTTCCCCTCTTGTTCACCTGTCTACCTACAATACTTAGAGCAGCACAACTCACTGCCTCAATATCTAAGAACAAAAGCCTTCTACAAATCATACCTGCACCTATAGATCTCTTGGTTACTTGTTATTCAGAGCTGAGGTCCCTTGGCTATTTTGGGGGCTGTTGCTTTTACCAGGTTACTTGTTGTGTAACCAGTAGTGTTTGGTGCAGTAACCTCAAGGTCCTCAGACTGATATATAAATGCGACAGAGTGTTGGTGTGTTTTCCCAAGGCTCAGGTAAAAAGGTCCTCAGACTGATATATAAATGCGACAGAGTGTTGGTGTGTTTTCCCAAGGCTCAGGTAAAAAGGTCCTCAGACTGATACATAAATGCGACAGAGCGTTGGTGTGTTTTCCCAAGGCTCAGGTAAAAAGGTCCTCAGACTGATACATAAATGCGACAGAGTGTTGGTGTGTTTTCCCAAGGCTCAGGTAAAAAGGTCCTCAGACTGATACATAAATGCGACAGAGTGTTGGTGTGTTTTCCCAAGGCTCAGGTAAAAAGGTCCTCAGATTTATGCAAAAACATGACAGTGTTTGTTTTGTGTTTGTGTTTCTCCAGGTGCCAGCCTTCCCAAGCCAACAGTAAAAACAGCGTCTCTGGGGCAAGCTGGCAAGGCCAGATCACCACTACTACCCGTCTCCGTGCCAACAGCCCCCGAGGTGGGTGAAGAGGGCCAGAAACAGCCAGAAGACTCAGCCAATGTGAGTAACCACTCCTTTCAGTGCGATCGGGCGCTCACGATCACACTCTAATATATTCAAGATTATCATGTATAAATGCCCACAAAACTAACGTTACTATAAAGGGAAAATGAAAAGCCCAAAGTATGTGATTTTATCAAGAGCAGATAGCGGTGGCTCAAATTTCCTCCTGTTAGTGGAAGTTTTTTGGTTGCTAATAAGGAATGATCTCATTGTCATCTATGGGGGTTCAGACTACTAGTATAGTAGTAGTAGTAGTATTAGTAGTAGTAGTAGTAGTAGTAGTAGTAGTAGTAGTAGTAGTAGTAGTAGTATTAGTAGTAGTAGTAGTAGTAGTAGTAGTAGTAGTAGCAGCAGTAGCAGTAGTAGTAGTAGCAGCAGTAGTAGTAGTAGTAGTAGTAGTAGTAGTAGTATTAGTAGTAGTAGTAGTAGTAGTAGTAGTAGTAGTAGCAGCAGTAGTAGTAGTAGTAGCAGCAGTAGCAGTAGTAGTAGTAGTAGTAGTAGTAGTAGTAGTAGTAGTAGTAGTAGTAGTAGCAGCAGTAGCAGTAGTAGTAGTAGCAGCAGTAGTAGTAGTAGTAGTAGTAGTAGTAGTAGTAGTAGTAGTAGTAGTAGTAGTAGTAGTAGCAGCAGTAGTAGTAGTAGTAGCAGCAGTAGCAGTAGTAGTAGTAGTAGTAGTAGTAGTAGTAGGTAGTAGTAGTAGTAGTAGTAGTAGTAGTAGTAGTAGTAGTAGTAGCAGTAGTAGTAGTAGTAGTAGTAGCAGTAGTAGTAGTAGTAGTAGTAGTAGTAGTAGTAGTAGCAGTAGTAGTAGTAGTAGCAGCAGTAGCAGTAGTAGTAGTAGCAGCAGTAGTAGTAGTAGTAGTAGTAGTAGTAGTAGTAGCAGCAGTAGTAGTAGTAGTAGTAGTAGTAGTAGTAGTAGTAGTAGCAGTAGTAGTAGTAGTAGCAGTAGTAGTAGTAGTAGTAGTAGTAGTAGTAGCAGTAGTAGTAGTAGTAGTAGTAGTAGTAGTAGTAGTAGTAACAATAGCAGCAGGGGCAACTGGTTTTGCTGCAGAATCATATCCAGAAAGAAAAACATCAACAGATAATTTACAAGCAATAGGACACAATATATTGTACACAACATAATATGTGGTCCTCTGTAGCTCAGCTGGTAGAGCATGGCGCTTGTAACGCTAAGGTAGTGGGTTCGATCCCCGGGAACCCCCATACACAAAAAAAAAAAAATTATGCACGCATGACTGTAAGTTGCTTTGGATAAAAGCGTCTGCTAAATGGCATATTATTATTATTATAATTATATGTAGTTGGTTACATATCTCAGGAGGCTAAAAAGATTTGGCATGGGAAAAAGTTATACAGCTGCACCATCGAGAGCATCCTGACTGGTTTCATCACCGCTTGGTATGGCAACTGCTCGGCATCCGACCACAAGGCACTACAGAAGGTAGTGCGTACGGCCCAGTACATCACTGGGGCCGAGCTTCCTGCCATCCAGGACCTCTATACCAGGCGGTGTCAGAGGAATGCCATAAAAATTGTTTAAGACTACTGCCACCCAAGTCATAGACTGTTCTCTCTGCTACCGCACGGCAAGCGGTACCGGAGTGCCAAGTCTGGGATCAAAAGGCTTCTTAACAGCTTCTACCCCCAAGCCATAAGGCTGCTGAACAGTTAATCAAATGGCTACCCAGAAAATTTGCATTGACCCCCTTATTTTATTCTGATTTATTCGTATTTTTTGCATTGACTGTCTTGCACAGGATCGATGTACACTCACTGGACTCTAACACTCACACATACTACACTGACACTCCAACACACGGACACACACACACACAAAACGCACACATGCAAATTGACGCCACACACAAACATACATTCACATTCCTTCACACTCTTCACATACGTTACTGCTACTCTCTGTTTATTATCTATGCATAGTCACTTTACCCCTACCTACATGTACATATTACCTCGACTAACCTGTACCCCCGCACATTGACTCGGTACCAGCACCCCCTGTATATAGCCTCGTTATTGTTATTTTATTGTGTTACTATTTTTCCTTAAGTTTATTTAGCACATTTTTCTTCCTTACTTTTTTAGAAATGTATTGTTGCTTAAGGGCTCGTAAGTAAGCAGTTCACGGTAAAGTCTACACCTGTTGTGACAAATACAAATTTGATTTGATCTCCCAGAGCTGAGGCAGAAGATACTCTCATTAGTGAATAGTGAGTCAGGAGGGTGGCAGGTAGCTTAGTGGTTAAGAGCGTTGTGCCAGTAACCGAAAGGTCGCTGGTTCTAATCCCCGAGCCGACTAGGTGAAGAAATCTGTCGATGTGCCCTTGAGCAAGGCACTTAACCCTAATTGCTCCTGTAAGTCGCTCTGGATAAGAGCTTCTGCAAAATGATGTAAATGTAGAGAGCGAAATGACTAAAAATGAAAATGTAAAATGTAGGAGAATAATGATACAAATATAAAAACGTGTTATAAAAGAATCTGCAACCTCCCGAGTGGCGCAGCATTCTAAGTCACTGCATCACTACAGCCTGGGGTTCGATCCCGTGGCTGTGACCGGGAGTCCCATAGGGCAGTGCACAATTGTCCGGGTTAGGGGAGGGTTTGACCGGGTGGCCTTCCTTGGCTCATCGCGCTCTAGCGACTCCTTGTGGCGGGCCAGGTACCTGCAAGCTGACTCTAGTCATCAGTTGAACTGTGTTTTTTCCTCTGACACATTAGTGCGGCTGGCTTCCGGGTTAAGCGAGAAGGTGTTAAGAAGCAGCGTGGCTTGGCGGGTCATGTTTCGGAGGACGCATGACTCGACCTTTGCCTCTACCGAGCCCGTTGGGGAGTTGCAGCGATGAAACAAGATCGTAACTACCAATTGGATATCACGAAATTGGTGAGAAAAAGAGGTAAAAGTACAACAATAATAATAATATATATTTTTTTTAAGAATCTGCTATGGGTTTCAGCACCTGATTCTGTAATTAAGGCTTTAGAAAGGGTTCCTTTAGCGTTTAACAGAAATGTCGTTATTCTTCCGTTTTTAAACAACTAATTGATCATGTCAGTTCAATTATTTGAATTCCATTTTGTTTACGTTTTTTTTTCTGTGAGCTCAATGTGCACATTTCACAGTTTCTCTAGACATAAATCAGATCCAGCCTGAACTGTGAGATGTATTAGGGAGTTGTAGTTTCCAACAGGCCAATATTCTACATAGTTTAGCGCAGAAAACATTGTAATTAACTACAATGACCATAATCCATTGCGCATCTACTTGTCCGGTCTGTGTTTCTTTTATGCCTGCTACGGAAGAGGCAGAAGAATGCACGATCGTGAGGTGAAATAGAGAGCAGCTGTTGCTTTCCAATGTATCTCTACCTGAAAATATATTATGTAAGTGATTGATAGTTGGTATTCAGCAGTCATTAAAGTCTGCCTTATTTACTTTGAAGAACTACTAAAATAGTGATTTAGTCAGTCAGAGATGAGATGATGACTTGGCATGAAATAATAAAGTCAACAAATAAAACAAATGTAATATACACCACAACTTAAATATTTTATTAAAGTAAAGTAATGTGAATAAATGATGGTTAATAAGTGATAAGCAGTAATGGGAAGTCACTACCATCATGGGACTTTTATTAATTGTTTTATTCTCTGTTGTTTCAACATTCAACCCACACAATGCATAGTGCATTTAATGTTTGTTTTTTAAATAATCGGGAGATCAAGAACCGTGATAATTTCTTCATCATCTAACCGAAACGGACTCAAAAAGCACTAACAGCTCAGCACCTTGGTCTGTGTTTTTAATGGCACTGTTTTCCCTTTAGTAGTGCACCATTACATTTTACATTTACATTTTAGTCATTTAGCAGACGCTCTTATCCAGAGCAACTTACAGGTAGTGAGTGCATACATTATTATTATTTTTTTTTTTTTTCATACTGCCCACCCGTGGGAATCGAACCCACAACCCTGGCGTTGCAAACGCCATGCTCTACCAACTGAGCTACATCCCTGCCGGCCATTCCCTCCCCTACCCTGGACGACGCTGGGCCAATTGTGCCCCACCCCATGGGTCTCCCAGTCGCGGCCGGCTACGACAGAGCCTGGATTCGAACCAGGATCTCTAGTGACACAGCTAGCACTGCGATGCAGTGCCTTAGACCACTGCGCCACTCGGGAGGTCCCGTGGCGCAGTGGTCTAAGGCACTGCATAAAGGGAATAGTGTGTCACTTGGGACTCAGACAGGTTCCTATGTTAGATTAGCAGGACGTTACTACACACACACACACACACACACACATACACAGGCACACATACACACAGACACAAACACACACACACACACACATACATACACACACAGGCACACATACACACAGACACAAACACACATGCACACACACACACACATACGCAGGCACACATACACATAGACACAAACACACATGCACGCACACACACATGCACACGCACACAAACACTGAGGTGGGATGTCCATTAGCTCGTTGTCATTATGGACGGCCATTTTGAATTGAATGTATCCAGATTTCCAATGAGCTCTAGATGAATACCCCCTTACAGTATTTACATGATGTCATCTACCTTAATATCTTTCTACCATTCTACCTTTCTACCTTTCTGCTGTTCCATTTAGAAATATCACAGAATGTATTATTTATGCTGGCGAGTCGTTATGTATGTTATGTTCATTATGTCCGTCTTGTTCTGATGAATAGGAAGCAGCAGCCAAAACATCCTGAGCATGGAGAATGTCAGCAGTGGAACAGGGAGAATTGTAGGACCAAAAAAAAGCACACGCACACAGGGTGTGAATTGTAAGACACAGCACAGTGCAGGCGAAGAATCGTTCCATTAAATATTCATATCTCAATAACAATAACACGTAGAAGGCATCAGTGGATTGGAGTCAGGTGATGCATTAGGCAGCCCCATAACACTTTATAGGACCTGCAAGAGTAATGAGAAAAGCAAGAGGGAGGAGAGAGAGAGAGAGAGAGAGAGAGAGAGAGA